AAATATATATATATGCTATATATATATGCGATTTATATATGCGATAAATATATATATATATATATATATATATATATATATATGCGATATATATATATATATATATATATATATATATACATACATATACATGTATATATATATATATATATATATATATATATATATATATATATATATATATATATATATATATATACATTATATAGGTTGGATCAAAAAAAAAACAATTTGCGGGGTATGGCAGTTTTTCTAATTCCGCCACTGCTTGACAGCCGCTAATGTAACACCGCTAACAAGAAAAATTCGCACCTAAAAGACACTTCCTGCTCGCATGTGATGATGTTGTTTAATTATGTGATTTCATTAACCGCTGCAAAAATTGGTCTCCTTAAACAAAGTTGCTCTAATTACAGTTACATAAAAAATAACAGATGGTAATAAAGTCATAAAACGATGCAGATTTTTGTAACGTGAGACAGTTTTTAGCTTAGTAGATCTGTGAATATTAACGTGCGTGTTCGAGAAATAAAAAGTATTTCTGAGTCACGTAAATTGTACTGTATGAGTGGTAGTCTAGTCTCTATCGCCTACTCAGGGCTTTTTGTAATGAATACAAAGAGCCTAAATATGGTTCTTAACATAAGTCAGATTTTCCTAACCTACTCACTGACCATAGTCCCAACACTAGCTTTATTCTAAAGCTGACCGTAACAACGATACAGAATTTTGTTTACATAAGTTGATTATATACAGTGTAGGTTTAGTAAGGCGAGTCAATATATACAGCTTTTTAAAATTAAACGGAATTTTGACAGTTTTACACCTCCCCACTGTATCAATTTCCCCTTGAACCCCTCTCAAACAAAGCAATAGGGCATTACAGCCCCCCCCCCCCCCACACACACACTCTCTCAATCATTACCCTCCTTTCATTTAGATAAAGCGATAAGGGAACCATTGGTACAGGTACCCATGCAGGCACAAGTAAAGTAACGGGTACACCTACAGGTAAAGTATAGTTACAGGAAAAGACAAGGGATATGAATAGCAATTGGGAACAGGACATTACATATGAAAATAAGGAAATTAGTTGGGATAATGTAATGGAACATGAAATGGGATATGCACAGAAATGGGGAAACAGATACGATTAAGATATATATAACGATATGGGTAAGGAAAAAGATAAGGATAGTTACAGGTATAGGTAAAGGGTAGGAATAGCGAATGGTAAAATGAAACGGGTTAGAAAATAGATTGGGAAATGGATATTGATAGCAATAGGAAAAATGGAATAGGATAGGGACATATATATATGAGTCTATTTTGAAATAAAATGACAACCAAACACTAAATATAGAACAAAACATCACGCACAACAAAATACATAAAAAAAAACAGCACAAAACACAACAAATACGCATCACAAAATACCAAACAACACAACCGGTTTCTAATCCTTGTAAAATATTTTTTATTATACTACTAAATTATTAAAAACCTTTAAAAACCTTTAAGATCAAAAGTAAGAATTACACTCAATCATACAGTTCGTTACATATTACTTTCTTTAATAAAAGAATAAACTATCAACACACTACATAAATAAACTGTTAAGAATTTGTATAACAATTTAATTGTTTTCTTTAAATATTAATAAATTGCTATGTATGAGATAGACGTTTTAACTGAGTTGCATGTCCATGAAAATGCATTATATAAACACACTATGCAAATATTTAGGGCAATTAGAATCCTTTTTATCAGTGCTACTGAAAGTTCTTTTATTTATCATTTGTTTAGAATAGTTTAGATTATCAAAAAAATACACACCCTACTGTAAACAAAGTTCTTTAACTTGTCCTTGCGTTTCTATTACCTTGTTTGCATTGACAGCAAAATATCGCATTCTTAAAATTATTATTTACAAAGTATGGGCTAAATCATTGTCATGTACACACATGATGGTAGTTGTAAAACATTTTTAAAGAACATCGATTGCTTCAAGGGCTATAGTTTCTGGTTTTAAAAACGGGAGTCTAGTTCTTTTCTGCAGTAAATTGATTCCCGTTTTGATAGCAATCTTCCGCCATTCCCTACCCACCCCCGATTTTTCTATTGATGTGGGAAACTGTATCTAAAATATATGCGCGTCCGACCGTCTTGACCCACAGTTCAACGCTCTTGGAGTTGAGTGAAAATGATTCATTTCTGTACTTGTATTCAGGTATTTTCCTCATATATTTGCTTAGGGTTTCCAAAATAATCAATAAATATATTCACCTATACAATTGTGCATTATTCCGAATTCCTGCTAAGGACTAAAGTCGATAGAATAAAGCACCATAACGAGTACTTTTTCTTCTGAAATTCATTTAAAAAAATATTTTTTAAAAATATCGAGTCTCCAAATACTTATTTATTTTAAAAGCTTGGACGGCCCCTGAACCTCTTGGGCTCGTGGACTTTGTCAACCTTGGTTCCATGGTTGTCACACCACTGATTTACCTAATCACTGTTTTAGAAATAAAGACTTTGTTTCAAATAAGAAATATTAAAATCCAGGAATGGGGTCAGGCTGACGTGTCACGTGACTTTAAAGAGTGTCTGGCTCGTACTTACGGTAAGTGATAAGTGTGCGTGGGGAGGGGGGGGGGTGGAGGGAGTTGCTTAATCGTAAAATAAAAATCTTGACGTTATTTAAAGGACAGCCCCTAACGCTAACCGATGGCTATTTCCGCAAGTTTTTACCATTCTCTTACATTACAATTTTATATTTTCCTCTGACAAAGATTGTTTTGCTTTAAGTATTTGCAGCCTAATTTAAGCATTAGATAGGAATTTAGCTAGCATTGCGAACACATGGATTAAAAAAACCGCACATAAAGTATTCACTTTGTTAAACACCTTTGCGGCAGAAGGACTATGGCGATGATCAGTTATATACTCACACACACGCATAAAATATTAAGCTGAATACAAGCAACATATAGTTTTCTGTGGAAGAAATAAAATTGTAGATATCTCAAGACCAATTCGAGCTTATTTAAGTATCTATACTATAACTCTAAGCTTGGGCTAAGCCCTATACATGCCTGTGCTCAAATATTAACCTTAACCCTTTATTTACGTAATTAAATTCTTTATCTACTGACGGTACTTATAAGTACCACTTTAATTAAGTGCCTGTATTATTTTTAATTTAATACGAATTTTAAAAATTATTGATGTAATTCATAGTATTATCTCCCCTGAGTTGCCGGTAGTTGGAGGGATCGATGTATTTTTTGAAAATTACTGGTGTGGCGCAATTGTCAATGTCTTGCTATATAGGTAGTTGACAATTGTTCTGTACAGTTCTCACACACGTTCCTGATTTCCCTTTGTTTTACCTTATTTTTCCAGTTTTCAACCCCAAATATTTTTTATTGGCACTTTCAATAGTCAGGCAAATGCGTTTAACTTCTAGTTATACAATTTTAATCAAATTGTCTTTGTATTAGATCGATGTTTACAAGTGGACTTATAAGTACCGTCTGGGCTCACGGTCATTTTTTTCCCACGTTTTCTTTAACTTGCTTTCGCGTCTGTTTTTTTGGTTCTCCAATCAAATCTTGCGATCAAAATTTCGGGCACTTCCCAGTTAGCTAGCGCGCTGAAATTTTCAGGGAAGCTTTGTATCCGATGACAATAGAAAATTTAATTGTTATTATTACTAAATTGATCAATGGAAACATTTTATTGATCATTTTAGACCTTTTGTACAAAAAACGTGGGAAAAGGGGACATAACCCAGTAATTGTAATTTGATGAAAACAAGGTTCGGTACTCTCCCTCTTTTGGCTTACTGAGTAGTCTTTCTTCTTCTTCTGAGTAGTGGTCACGCGGTGTTTGTGTACAAACAACCGGAACGTAACAACTGGTGGCCGGTATGGGGGAGACGATATGGTCGAGTGGTTGGGCACACGATTGCTATCCCACTCGACACGGGTTCAAATCTATGTGTTCTAGTCAGTAACGTATTCACACAACGTGTTTTTTACGAGTTGTCTTCGTTTACCCAAAAAAAGTGAATGCGAAAAGATAAAATCGATAGCAAGATTTTAACGCAAACAAACAGACAAAGACTAAAAAGTAGAAAATAATTATCATTAAAAAAGTTTTTAAAAACCCACGTTTTTTTTACTATAAGCGATGAAAAACGTGGGGCGCCGTGATTTTCTTACAGTTTCTAATACTGTTGACTCTCTACAAGCTCCCTAATAAAAGTCAATAGTATTATCTAATCAATAGTAATATAACTTTTACATCTTATATTAATAATGACCGATAAAAAACTTTTACTTCGGCGCCCCACGTTTTTCATCGCTTATAGTAGAGTGATCGCTTGCATTATTGTGATGTATAGCATTTATTTTCTACTTTTTAGTTCAATCAGAAAGCGTGGGTTTTTAAAAGCTTTTTTAATGTTAATTATTAGAATTTTTAGGAAATGGCAGATTGTTTTATGTGGAGTGATAATTAATTATCGAAATGTACTCAAAAAAATGATATTTACACATTTATAAGAAGGTTAGCATGTGGTTTACCTAAGAAATATTGTAATTACATGTTGATTTCTAGTAGTAAAAGAATAACAAGAATAAAGGTAGCAGTTGCAGGCTCGTTTAGTAGGTTTAGTATACTTCATTTGTATACCAAAGTCTAGTTCTAGTAGTAAGATGTGTTAGTTATATTTGCTGCAAAAAAACAGTCTTGCCTATAATAACTAGCATGTACCTAATATATACCTAGAGAGTAGTAATAGCCCATACTTCTGCATATAATATAGATCTCTACATTTTAACCAGTTAACATAAAGCAGTAGGCCACTAAGACTATCCTAAACACATTGAGCTCACTTCTATTTATGAACTTTACACTGTAGTGTAGACTTGCCATAACATTCTAGTAGGCTACAATTTTACTAGTATTACTCTTAGTTGCGTGCTCAATGACTAGGCTTTTGTTTTCAAAATATTTTGTTTATGCCGCTCATTGTAATAGCTATTGGAAGCTTCCAGCAAAAGCAGGTTCAGTCCGACAACTGTTGCCACACCAGAAAGACCAAATATAAGAATGTAGCAATAAGGAATGAAAGAGCATCACACGTGGGCACCTTTTGCTGTGTTTGAGGTCTTAGATTGTGTTCCGAATAGAAAATCCAGTAAAAATCGTATTCAAAATATACTTTTGTACTGCGTTTATGTTTGAAAATTACAAAAAAAATGATTGTTATAATGACTGCCATGTTATTAGTTAATAAATTGTATCGTTTGGACCTGTTTTGTAATTATTTTTTTTTTTGGAAAAAATGTCCTACATTCCTGACAGTGTTTAGAAGTACCAGTATATGTTTGGACCATTAAAAATTTATGAAACGAAATTTCCTTCCACATATGCTTTAAGTATGCCAAAAGCAATATGATAACACATTGTTTAAGAAAAAAATTCATTCAGAACCTAATTCCGTAAATAAAGTTACTGCAATATTTATAACTAACAAATCTTACTACTAGAAATAGACTTAAGCATACAAATAAACTTTACTACAACTTGATAATTCAATATCAAAATAATTTGTATGCCACTCCACATCGAAAATCTGCAATTTTCAAGAAATCCTAAATAGATAATCGTGTGCCCTGACGGTACTCTTAATTATTCGTGTAAACATTGCAGTGATCTAATACAAAGACAATTTGATTAGAATTAAATAAATAAAAGTTAAACACACTTATCTGGTTGACTATTGAAGATGCCAATACAAAAAATATTTGGACTTGAAAACTTGAAACGAAGGAAAATTAGGAACACGTATGAGATCTGTACAACACGATTGTGAACTAACGATACAGGAATAGGTTGAAAATAGCGCCACATCCATAATTTTTCAAAAGTGGTACTAATAAGTACCGTCAATAGATAAAGGGTTAAATACGACATAAAGCAATACAAGCAAATAAAAAAAAATTAACACAGCAAGTCATAGATGTAATTTATATATTTGAAAAATGAGCGGTTAGCCAGCTTTGCAAAAAAACTAATTCCTCCCCCCACCCCCCCCCCCTTTACCCAACCTAAAACAAAGCCTACATAAACCTAGTTAAGCCAGGGAGTTATTACCTGTAAGCAACAACTTACCTAGAGCAAGTGACGACGCGATTAACCCAAGGGACGACGGATTATAGTTCTGGCACTTAGGAAAATGTGAAGGGACATCGGGGTGTCGGTCAAACGATTCGTTGAACATTAGGGCCATCCCGTTGACGTGGTGCAGTTCAATGTGGCAGTGCATGAACCACACGCCGGGGTTGTCGGCCCTGATACGGATCACAGCGTACCTGAAGTCAGGGGATATAATCATGAAGTAGGGGAAGTAATTATGTAGAAGCTGGCATAGTCATGATGCAGTAAACGGAATAATAAAGCAACGGACAGAGGCATGAAATAGGGGACATAATTATGAAACAGAGACGTAATGAGGAGGCTTGAGCCATAATCATAAAACTTGTGGTATATGAATTAAGATTGTCGCATAGGCATGAAGATTGGTGCATGAGCACGAAGCAGGGGACATAATCATGATACAGAAACAATAAAATTTAGATTGTAAAGAGAAATAATCGGGGTTTACCTTTAGTATTTTAATTTTTTTTTTGGTTATAGTTTAATAGTTATATATTTTTAAAAAAATTATAACTGCACTATAGGTACACAATTTCTGGTACACCAGGTTGTGAGTACCACGGTGATATACCAGCTGGTTACAAGTAGCTGGAGTATCATGACTAATATCTCATTTGTTTTTATGATAAAGCATCTCTCAATTCACACAGCATTAATAGATACCTGATCAGATATAGCTATGGAGTCTTACGCGGGTCAAAACAACTTTTTCATTATGGTGCTCACAAAACGTATTCACTCCTTTCAGCAAAGTATCAATATTTAGATGATCGATGTGTTACTTAATGTTGTACTTTCCGATAGGAAAAATTGAAAACCTACCCGCCGGTTGGTACAATGATGGTGTCTTTCATTGGGGGATAATCCAGTTCTATTCCGTCAATGTTGTTACCTTTCCATGAGGAGTTAGCCCAAGATGCATTGTTACAGAAACTGTTTTCAAGCGTTGAGTTACGTGTGCAGTTGATGTCCGTGTTTTCTCCCAGAAATAAACCTTAAACAATAAACAAAATAAAAACTTAACAAACAAACGATTACATTTTGAAACAATATTCCAGACACTGTTTTAACACTTTTATAAGAAATAAGAATTTAATTTAAGTACGAGTGCTGTATAAATTGCTACTTAACATCTGTTTAAGATCGCTACATTACTGATGATTTATACATAATGTATTTAGCATGTATATATTTGTTATATCACTCGCGATTACTAAGATTTATTAGGACTAAACATTTTTCAATTAGTATTTTTTTTGTGTAGAAACAAATTATTTTCATATATCCCTGTTGAGATCACATTTAACATCTTTTATTATAGCACCCTTAATATTTCGTCATGGCTAACGGTAACTATTTAAACCATGACTCAATTTTAAGCTTCTGATGTAAGAAATATATTCATGTAGCCTACACATTTTAGCTCACTTCATTAAAATAATTACCTGTTACTTTGTCATACTCTGGGTATCCCATTTTGACGAGGTAAAAGGAGTGACCATGTAAATGTATGGGGTGAGTCCAGCCCCTTCCTGCTCCTTTGTTCAGTAGCACCATTTGATATGTGGTATTGTACTATGAACCAATTAAATTGCTTCAGATTTTTAAATTTTATGTTTTACGCTTTATAATTCTTTTAAAACATTATAAGTATAAAATTGAATTTTTAATAAATTATTTTAACGTTGATTATTAAAAGTAATTATTTTTTTTAAATAATAAATTATTTATTTTAATTATCAATATCTTTTTTTATCTTGCAGTTGATGTTTTAGGTATAGTTACAGAACTACAAGGCTCCTTTAAGTACATTTACAGATCTTTCTTGCCTTTTTGTAGGTATAGTTACTGATTTTTCTTACCTCGAGGCTGATGCTGTATGTACAGTTACACAACTCTTCCTCGCCACACTTGTCATTACTGCAGTAGCTGGTCACACTTTGAGGCTCAGTCAGTGCTGTCACAGAGGGAAACTGGACATCAGGAATATAAAATTAGAATGACGTTATTTAAGGATGCCCCCGATATTTTAAAACAAAAATTAATTAATAAATAGAAAAGTGTTTGTAAAAAATACATATGTTTGTAAAACGATGAGATAGTAGTCAATAAAAATGAGTTTACGACTAATGTCCAAAAACACTTTCCTTGTTGAAGTTTGCCCGAAAGGTTTTTCCAAGTGGACGTTGTGCACGAATGAGGCAAATGCCCGAATGAGACAAATGCCAGTATGAGACAAATGTCCGAATGAGACAAATGCCAGTATGAGACAAATGTCCGAATGAGACAAATGCCCGAATGAGACAAATGACCCAATGAGACAAATGCCAGACTGAGAAAAATGCCCGAATGAAACAATTGCCCGAATGAGACAAATGCCCCGAATGAGACAAAACCCCAATTAGTGACTACGCCACATTTCCACATGCTGCGTGATACATCCACATATTTCGTTACAGTACTACATACTACAGACACTTCACAATCACTTTATCACATGTACCCTTGTAGTGTTAATTTTAGAAAGGCCACACAACTCTCTTGAATCCACAACACACCTGAACATATACTCTCTAATCAAACTGTAGCTACATTCTAACAACCTGAAACCTGCGGCCGTTGACGGATCCAGGAACTACATCGCCTTTTCCAGGAAAAGCGAAGTTTAAGAAAATTTCCTTAATGTTTTCCTCCGTGTTCTTGCCTGGTGGGTTGTTGACGGCGGCAGATTTGATTTTGTCGAAATTCACACAAATTGTGTTTACACTTGTTGGGTAGTATGAAAACGGGCAGTTGAGTACGTAGCATCTGGGAGGGAAGAAAGGAGAATTAAACAATACGAGCCGACCCGCGGCGTATTATACGCCGCAATTTAGTTGTTTTATATTTTATTTTTCAGCAATTCATAATTTGTGAATTCGACAGTACGAGTGCTGCCACTGAAAATATTTGCTTTAAAACACTATCAGTAGGTCGTTAAGGATGATACTACCCCCACCCTCCTTTCCCCCAACCCCTACCCTACACCCCCCCCCCCCCCCGTGAAAGCAGCCTCCTCTTAGTTACCTCCCCTAAGTTTAAAATCGTTTCAAACTAAATTATCTGCCCCTAATAGCCGTCACTAAACCCGGCACTACGATTGTAAACATTTAGCGTGAACCACAGCTCACCAGACCATGTGGCGGTGGGGGTAGTAGTAGGGATAAGCCTAGAGAGGAAGAGATGGGGCTGCTAGGCGCGCTTACAGCTTGGTGTTTTCTATGGTCTCCAATAAGAGAATTACATATATAGAATAGATGCTCGCAGTTTTAACGTCTTTTTACGATAGGAAAAATAAATACATGCTCGCGGTCTTTTTACACGCTTTTATTTAACTTGCTTCCTCTGTCATCAGACGTCAGTCTGTCATTATTTATCAAAACGGGCGAGCGAAATTTTGGTCACATCAAATTGACGAATTTCTCAGAAATTTAGCATTTGGGTCAAGACATTAAGATGATGCAATATTGCGGTAAATTTGACTTAATTGAATGCTTTAATAAGTTTTTATGAATGATTTAAACTTTTTTAAAAAAATTCTGAATTTTATGAAATTAGTAGGCGGTCCTATACTACTACTCGCACTATTACACGTGTATTATCATTTTCATTTGGTGCGCAATCGTTTTAGTCATGTAACTCAATTGTGTTAAAAATTTTAAAGTACAAAAAAATTGCAATAAAACATTTCAATAGCAAGATTTTATGTAATAATACACCACTAAAAAGGAGAAAATTATTTTCTGTAAATATATCACAGTACACTACTTTTTAAATAACTATAAAGATTAGCGTGGGTCTCTTCCTAAATATTATTAAATGTCTCCAATAGATACTATAGTGACCAAAGCTTTTCTTTATTGTTATTTAAATAGTATATTATTACATATTTAAATAATGCATTTTGGCATATTATATAATGCTGTATAAATATTTATTTTCTTTTTATAGCTTTGAGTTTTGAAATTCCTACTCCTTTCATTAAAAAGGATACTAATACAGTTAACGAGTACTTTGTTAGCCATTTCGTCACAATTCAAAGCTGTACCACCAATAAATTAACAGTACTTAAAGAAAAGAACGCAAAATAAAATAATTTAAATAACATTTCTTTGAAAACTGGTCTTTCAAGTTTGTAACAATGTTAAAGTTTTAAAATGCTTGAAACACAAATATATAAATAGAAATTAAGAACTATAACAATGCGTTTTGGTATATGTGCATGTTTATTCGTTTATTCCGAGGCGCAGTTTTCGGGTCAATTTTACTTACATATCAGTGGTCGTGTGATTACTACTTATACATCAGTGGTTCTACGACTACTGCTTACATATCAGTGATCGTGTGCCAACTACTTACATGTATGTGGTTATGTGATTACTACTTACACATCAGTGATCGTGCATGGTCTAGGCCATGAATCAGGGTCGCCATTGACAGCACCTCTGTATCGTAGAATAGCCCAGCCTGTGGTTGGTGTGGTCTCCAAAGTCTGAACCCGGATCCAGTAGTTTAAATTAACCTGGTCAGTCTTAATTACAAAGTCGTACCGTTCTCCCGGGTTGATGATGAAGTAGTTCACTGGTTGTGGGTGGATGGGATAGCTGATGGTGATTACATTGTCTGATTAGAACAAGAATTGTTTTTTTTTTCTCGAGGTACTACGACAGGTAACATACTGGATTACCCACCTCCCTTTACACAGGTAATACAGTAGATCACTTACCCATCACTAGCTACAACCTCCAGAGTGTGTTGATCAATGGACACAATCAACGGATAATTATTTGTAGCCCCTATTACTCTAAACCTAAGGAATTTAAAATAAAAACCATTATAATCATAAAACAATTAAAACCAACTATAAATGCTATCATATGTAGTACACTTTTTTACATAACTTAATTTAGCACACATTTAAGTATGTGCTAATGAGTGTAATTCATAATTAATTAATTAATATTGAACTTTGAACTCGCCTGTATTTCGTGTTTGGATCCACTTCAAAAACAGCCAAAGGTGCCTTAACGACACCAAACCGCCCCATACCGTTCACAAGCACGGAATGGATCTTAAACATACTGTAACGGAAGATTGTAGCTATGAGATTAAATACCTGGTTTCTTGAAAAACAGTTTTATACTTTTAAGTCGAATTTACTCTATGAAATTAAGAGTGATAGTATAACTATACACATTCTGTGTAGATATTGAATGCACACACGGATCTGTAGCGTAGAATATCTTAAGACTTCCGGGTTCTAAGTCGTATGCTCTACCATTCGACCACATCGTCCCATCTGACTGTCTTACCTACACTTTATCTAACCGCAAACTGTGTGTACCAAAGTGCCATGCTCTAACCCATGTAAAACATTTGTTAGCTGACCATCATTACTTTCTCGTATATACGTAGTATAGAGAAAGTATTGTAATCGTGCAAAAAAAAAATCGAGATTTTTACAAATCTCGACGTTTTACACCTCACTGATACGGAAAAACATAATTTTGCAATCTTGTCCGTATGTCTGTGTCTGTGTGTGTGTGTCTGTGTGTGTGTGTGTGTGTGTGTGTAAACACGATTACTTGAGTACCGTTACAGCTAGGTTGATGAAATTTCATATATAAGTATTTTATCAAAATCGTAGATCCGTATCAACTTTTGAGCGATTTCCGATAACCGAAAGTGGTACTTTTTCTACTTTGAATTTTTCAAAAGCCTATAACTTGAGCACTATTTCAGATAGATAAATGAAATTTCACATGTAAGTAAAAGATCTAATTCTCTACCTTCTGTTAAATTTTGAGTAATTTCCGTTGACGGGAAGTACTAATTTACGCTATTTCCGATTTCTCAAAAACGCATCTAAATTTATAAAATACTAATAATATTGCGCACCATTATAAACATCTTTATTCGGCGTTCACTTGGTGTGCAATATTTTGTCTATGAGATTCTATTTTATTTTTAAAAGTTTATGTATTTAAAATGGATTAAAAATCATAACTATATCCCGAGTTCCCATCCCTTGTTGTTTTATATAAGAATATTCGAGAAAGTTTAGGGGAGATCACTCCCGGTTTATTTTAAAGAGAACTTATTACCTGTGTATTTCTTACTTGCACTGTGAAATGTCTTTTGATTACCCGTACTCTTACCTCTCTGTGGAACGGCGTGGTCGCGTGGTAGCGCTAACGACTGCTAACCTAGAAAACTCAAACTCGGATCCGGGTTTGTCCATAAGACGTAACTGAGTCTACCCAGCTCTGATGGGTGCCTGACTCACGTCAGGGAAACTTAAGCCGACTGGGCATAGTGCTGACAACACTTATATGCCTAGGTCACAGAAACATGTAAACTATACTTCAACATGCCCAATGACCGTAAGGCTCGAAAGGGTAATTTACTAAAAATAATTCACCGCGAATTTCTTATATTGAAGAACACTAATATAACATTTACAAAAGATCTCTACTTCACCTGCCCAATGGTCCGGCGAGTTCGAAAGGGTACTTTACTTACTAATCTTTGTATATCTTTTCTTCATTTTTTCTTACCTTTAAGATCCACTTACCTGAATTTACCACCATCAAACGACGTACTTGCCGCAACTCTTTGTCCGTTTTCGAAGACGCCATACTGCATCTTGAAATAGGCGGTGTCACCGTCCATAAAGTGATTCCAGTCCTACATGAACAAAACACGGTACATTAATGCAAATAATAACAAATATCCAGACCAATATTGGAGGGCTTACATCAATCCAACTAATGTTAACCTTTACTTTCATATCCGCATGTACAAACTACAGTAGAGTAGTACAAATAAAGTTAGCTGTTATGTCCAATCTCACTGTTAAATGGACAAACTTCAATACGAATATTTTAGCCTTTCGGCCAAAACCTACGTGTACCTTAGTACAAATAATTGTATCTATACTATACGCTGTGTACCAGTAGTATCATAACATACGCTGTGTATCTTATGTAGTATCATAACATACGCTGTGTACCTGTAGTATCATAATATACACTGTGTACCTGTAGTATCATAACATACGCTGTGTACCTGTAGTATCATTACATACGCTGTGTACCTGTAGTATCATAACATACGCTGTGTACCTGTAGTATCATAACATACGCTGTGTACCTGTAGTATCATAACATACGCTGTGTACCTGTAGTATCATAACATACGCTGTGTATCTGTAGTATCATAACATACACTGTGTACCTGCAGTATCATAACATACGCTGTGTACCTGTAGTATCATAACATACGCTGTGTACCTGTAGTATCATAACATACGCTGTACCTACCTGTAGTATCATAACATACGCTGTGTACCTGTAGTATCATAACATACGCTGTGTACCTGTAGTATTATAACATACGCCGTGTACCTGTAGTATCATAACATACGCTGTGTACCTGTAGTATCATAACATACGCTGTGTACCTGTAGTATCATAACATACGCTGTGTACCTGTAGTATCATAACATACGCTGTACCTACCTGTAGTATCATAACATACCCTGTGTACCTGTAGTATCATAACATACGCTGTGTACCTGTAGTATCATAACATACGCTGTGTACCTGTAGTATCATAACATACGCTGTACCTACCTGTAGTATCATAACATACGCTGTGTACCTGTAGTATCATAACATACGCTGTGTACCTGTAGTATCATAACAAACTCCGTGTCCCTGGTGACGACCTTGGCCCTGATGATGAAGGCACCAAACAGACCCGAGGAGAGCTGGGTCCCCATGTGTGAGTGGTACCAGAACGTGCCTATAGGGCTGGCCTTGAACTTGTACGTGAACTCTGTCCCAGGCAGTATTGGGCACTAAAATCAAGAATGGAGAAAAAGGCAACGAAATAAGTTTCATTTTACTTTAGTTAGAAAACATATCACAGTGAAGAAAATAAATAAATTAACTGTTTTAAAGTATGTACATTTCAATAGTGAATTAATGTGTTCAGTGTTGTACTGCAACATTGTAATCTTCTACTAACGTTTGAATTTAATGTGTAGTTATGGTATTTGATCAAATTGAGTACAGAGTTTCTTCCAGGCTCCCCCCCCCCCGAAAATGTAGACCGCCCCCACCACCCGAAAATATCAAGTGCCCCCCCCCCCCCCCCACCTTGGACAAAAAGTCTGGAAGAAACACTGATAGAGTACTGTAAGGACAGAAATTTTAATCATCATTATGGATAGCGGTAGATTCATGGAGAGTCAGAGAAGAATGACTCGAAGTTCATACATCGTCATAGAAGAAATTAGGGGTATGCGGCGTCAAAGACAATGTACACTATTGCTGTAGAAAAAAAAAATGTGTCAAAAAGGGATATCGCGTGTTCGCTGTTCAGCAATGTTCCAGCGTACAGCGAGATGAAGAAAGAGAGAGGACGAGGATCGTGTACAACACGGGGGTATTTAGCTCCAGCCTACCTGTACAACACGGGGGTAACCAGCTCCAGCCTACCTGTACAACACGGGGGTAACCAGCTCCAGCTTACCTGTACAACACGGGGGTAATCACCCCCAGCCTACCTGTACAACACGGGGTTATTAAGCTCCAGCCTACCTGTGTGACGAAGGGCACCCCGTCCATCCAGGGAGTCCCCACCTGGTGGAGACCGTGCCAGTGGACCGTGACGGCGTCGCTGATCAAATCGTTCCTCACGTGAACTGTAATCGTCTGCCCCTCATACACCTGGGTGGGGGAATAAGTAAGAGAGTTACATTAGCCTTAGGTCGGGATTTGTGATATCGTTAATAGACCTGGGTGGGGATTTGTGGGAGTTAAATTAGGACTGGGTGGGGGATTGTTAGAGTTCAAATCAAATTTGAGCTAAGTGGTGATTAGATATAGTTAAATCAAGGCTTGGTGTGAATTTATGAGAGTTTAGTTACAACAAGATGGCGATTTATACGAGAGTTAAGTTAGACATGGGTGGGATTAGTGAGAAAGGTTAGACCTGGGTGGGATTAGTGAGAAAGGTTAGACCTGGGTGGGATTAGTGAGAGAGGTAAGTTAGTCCTGGGTGGGATTAGTGAGAGAGTTAAGTTAGACCTGGGTGGGATTAGTGAGAAAGGTTAGACCTGGGTGGGATTAGTGAGAGAGTTAAGTTAGATCTGGGTGGGATTAGTGAGAGAGTTAAGTTAGACCTGGGTGAGATTAGTGAGAGAGTTAAGTTAGATCTGGGTTGGATTAGTGAGAAAGGTTAGACCTGGGTGGGATTAGTGAGAGAGTTAAGTCAGACCTGGGTGGGATTAGTGAGAGAGTTAAGTTAGACCTGGGTGAGATTAGTGAGAGAGTTAAGTTAGATCTGGGTTGGATTAGTGAGAAAGGTTAGACCTGGGTGGGATTAGTGAGAAAGGTTAGATCTGGGTGGGATTAGTGAGAGTTAAGTTAGACCTGGGTGGGATTAGTGAGAGAGGTTAGATCTGGGTGGGATTAGTGAGAGTTAAGTTAGACCTGGGTGGGATTAGTGAGAGAGGTTAGATCTGGGTGGGATTAGTGAGAGTTAAGTTAGACCTGGGTGGGATTAGTGAGAGAATTACGTTAGACCTGGGTGGGATTAGTGAGAGAGGTTAGATCTGGGTGGGATTAGTGAAAGTTAAGTTAGACCTGGGTGGGATTAGTGAGAGTTAAGTTAGACCTGGGTGGGATTAGTGAGAGAGTTAAGTCAGACCTGGGTCGGATTAGTAAGAGTTAAGTTAGACCTGGGTAGGATTCGTGAGAGAGTTACGTTAGACCTGGGTGTGATTAGGTGGGCATTTCTTTTGAGAGTTTATAACTACCTAGGTGTAGGTAAAGTTTCCCTTTCAAACCTGACGATCTATGGGGCAAGTGAAATAGAGTTCACTTGTTTCTGTGACCTATGCATATGAAGAGATAATGTGGTCAGCGCTATGCCCAGCCGCCTTTACTTTCCCTCACGTTAGTTAGGTACCCATCAGAGTTGGGTGGACTCAGGGACGGTCTACTGACTTGAACCCGGATTCGAACTCGAGACTTACGGGTTAGCAGTCCACCTACCTAGTTGGGGATTGGTGGAAAAGTTTTATAATAATTTACCCAACTAAGATTTTGTCAAATCTATGGTATTCAACGGAAATTGATTTCTTACTGCCGTTTCAAAATTCAACTAATCCAGTCGCGCATATTTTGTGTAGACGGTATATGTTCACATTGCACATTTATGTGGCTGTGCGGTATGTTTAATGCTAGATCTAGAGGGTGTATGAAGAAAAAACGTGTCAAAGTTGAGATCTCAATCCTCATCTTTACAATTCCCCCCCCCCCCTTTTTTTTTTGTTAGATCAGTTGTTTGCTTGGACTGAAGTACAGTATGCTGTTGGGTGTGGAACTCATAATCACTATAAAATCAACCTTTGTAACTCTATGTGTGATATATGTATGAAGCTACTTTAGTCTGCTGGTTATAATTCTATCTTTATGATCTAACAATTTCTGTTTAAAGTTGCTAGGTTTGTTAATATATTGTTTTTCTATCTACTTCTTCCTGATACAGTTAACATAGAGGTCTACCATGTACCAAAAACAAGACAAAATGTCTCCGTGACTTCATCAAGACGTGTTATCTAACACAACTAGACGAGTATCATGCAGCTAGGTCCTGCTGACCGTCTCACCTCTATGGGAGGGCCGGGCATTGTCCCATTAGCCGTGATGACCAGCTTAGGGTCCATAAAGGCATCAGCCGTGATGACCTTCTCTGGCTCAAACTTAAGCGAGGAGTCGGTGAATATTTGGCCGTCTTTAAAGTAGACAAGCTCCTTGCCGTACATCATGGTCAGTTTCTGCTCGATGACCAGCCAAAACTCGCATCTGTCGTCTGTCATCAGACATTCGCTTGCTGCATGTTGCATGAGGCATGCTACAAAGACTACCAGCCACTGTTTGCTAAAAGAGTGGGGGGGGGTTAAGTCATGTAGTAAGTGTTGACTGTATAAAAACAAGTGGTGATTTAAGTCATGTAATGAGTGTTGACTTTATTAAAAACAAGTGGTGACTTAAGTCATGTAATAAGATTGTTTAAATCGGGGTTTCTTTCAGACATTTTTTCTCCGAAAACGTCGGGGGGGGGGGGGGGGAATTTAAATTTCCGCTGAGGAGCACTTAAAATTTCCGGGGACCATAATTTGTTATATAAACTTTGTATACAAATGTAACATTTATTTTATAGATTGGGGATTAACGTCGCCCCCCCCCCCCCAGGAGAGATGTCTGGAAAAAACTCAGGATGAGATAGGCTGTGATTCAAGTGGCCAAACCGTTGCTCAACTACTTAGCTTCGTCAATACTATATTTAAATTAATTACATTTAAAACGTCGACATTTGTAAAACACTTACCTCATGTTTTATTCTCTTAAATTTCACCCACAACACCCCCGAGCAAAGAAAAAAAATTATCCCTGGAAAATGTAGAATCAACTCACTGCACACGTTACGCGTCGCGCGCCATAGAAGTTGGTCAAACTAAAACCAAGATGTTGCATCTGTGCTGTTATATATTTTGTTTGAACAGTTTTATTGACACTGGTTCTAGTTTTTAAACGCTTTACATTTTGTTTGAACAATTTTATTAACACTGGTTCTAGTTTTTGAACGCTATACATTTTTTTCAACTGTTGTATTGCCACTAGTTCTAGCTATTGAACACGGGCTCGTAAGTTGAATAATACCTCAAATAGACCCATACACCCATCGCCAGCAACCAACATTAAATGATGTATTTATGTTACAGAACGGACGGAGCGTAGGTAATGAACGCTGCGTACAAGCATTCAATATAGTGAAACCATTTATTTCGACCTTGCACCATAAAAGAGCCAACTGTTACGGCTGTAGTCATCAATGCGTGACAGGATAGGTGTTTGTATGTCAGGTATAAGGCGAGGCTACGCAAGAGAACCATTGGCTACACGCTGAAAATGGCCGAAGATTTTATTTCTATAAAAAACGGTTACAAAGAATAGTTTTACGGTATCAAAATAAATTTTAGGACGTTTATTAAAGGTCGGATGTTTAACAGAACTTTTTGGGTACGTGTATATTTATTCAAGTTAAGTCATTATAGGAGACGTGCTGTTGTTTCTTTGTATGATGGGGGGGGGGTGTAGAATAAGAGATATAGTGTAGGGTTTGCTTTTTCTTATATTTACAACCAATCGGACGGTGTGGTCGGATGGTAAAGTGTGGACTACTAACCCAAAGTCTTTGAGTTAGGGTCCCTAACTTTGGTGCTTAGGATGTCCTATGCCGAGGTCATGGAAACAGGTGAACTCTACTTCATCTTCACCACGAACCATTAGGTTTGAAATTGTTTAGTTTACCTTATTTACTTCCTACACGCCGGCTGCCAACGTAACGCTAGACTAGAGAGAAATGTTAATCACATTTATTCCATCACTACCAGCGTGTTACAAGGCGCTCATACACTTTCTTTCATCCAGCAATGTTTCTTCCAGACTGTTTTCTCCGGGGGGGGGGGGGACCTGAAATTTTCGGGGGGGGGGGGGGGCGGACAGTGTTAAAAGTACATATTTTAATATAAATTCCATTCTCCGTTCGGGGGGCGGGGGCGGTAGACTTTCTTTGGGGTGGGGGGAGGAGACAGAGCCCCCCCCCCCCCTCGAAGAGATGCCTGGAAGAAACTCTGTCAACCAGTGCTTCATTACTAAATGTACACGCTAACACACACACAAATGCACACCCATACACACACACACAATCACACACATTCATACTACACATAAACATTCAAACACTTATATACACCAACATATACACTAACCAAAATCCATTCATACAGACGCAAACACAAACCTTACATCAACTGGTGAAACCGGTTTCCTAATTGATCTGGCAACAGTTGCATAACTAAGCGGTCGGCCTTGAAATATCACATTGAGTGGATTGTAAAATGGGGCGCATTGAAACGGTTAATAAGCTGAATGTATTTAGCTCTCCATTGAAATTCATTGATCTATCATACAAAGCTTGTACGGATTAGCCGTACCCACAAGTTTGTTACTTTGTATCGCCATCTAAATAGTCATTTTTTTTAGTTAACACGTGATATGATTAATTAGGTTATAAAGCTCGGTAGGTGGGTGGCGTGATTTTTAATGCTTCCATGTACTGCTATTAAATGGAATAATGTAACGCTTGAAGCTTTAACAAAAAAACTTAATTAGTTTCAACGAGAATATTTTCACCGTCAACTCGTACACACAAACACACACACACACACAAACACACACACATACACACACACACACACACACACACCTGTCACAACCCGTGACATGTCAGTTACTTCAAAATTTCTCTATCTCTCACACACACAAACACGTCAGTTGCTTCAAAATTTGGTGTTGCACTTACACAAAGGCCGGCAACACACACACACACACACATTTACACACCTGTCGCACCTTTGACACGTCAGTTACTTCAAAATTAGGTGTTACACCAATGACTTCAACTCTCTCTCACACACACACACAGACACACACAGACACACACACACCTGTGACACACGTCTGCTTCTTCTACCACCTGTCACACCTGTGTCACGTTTGATGCTCACAGCTTTGATCTTCCACCAAAGCAGCTGTCAATTAATACATCCCTAATCAGTGTGAGTAATTAAACCACACTTCTGGACTTGGTGTCACCTCCCCTCCAGTGTAAGCGCATAAAGTACACACTTGCCAGTTGAAGCAGAGTCCATCTGTTTTCTTAAACCTGGACACGTGAATGGTTTATGTTGTATTATGTTATTTTTCTATTTGTACAGTGACGTACATTTTTATTCTCATTTGTGCACGCCACTTATTCATGATTTAACGTGTGGATTATTATTTTTTTCTTTTAAACAAGTAACTATAACCGAGAAAATCTTTCTATACAACAAATAATGTTCTGATTACCTCCCTTGCTCCGTGGGAAAAAGAGTGATAGGCTATTAAGGAAACGGGAGTAAAGTAAATAGGGAGTAAAGTAAATACAACTTCCTGTTCTCGGAAATTTGTCAAAATCTTGATTAAGACTTGTGCATGATTACTGTGCATCCATTATATTTCGTATATGACACAACGTGAAGGGGTAAAACGGTGAAAACGGTGAAAACTATCAAAGTCTCATTTAATTTTTGTGTACGATTAAAATACATTTTCTGTACACTGTGTATGTGGTTAGTTTGTGATCTTTTCTTCATTTTGTGATACATTGCGTTTTATTTATTTTTTCTTAAAAGATAATGATTATGAATATGCATTTTATTGTTGAATGTTGGTTTTCATTTGACATCACCGCTTAAGAAGAATAACTTACCTTATTTAAAATTTTAGCTGAAGGTATTTTTGTCTGTCATATTTTGCTGATTCGGGAACTGTGCTAGATCTAAGAGTAACTACTCCATATGACAATCCCAAGCGTTTTGTAAACAAAAGAACAGTTTATCTGAAGCCTTGATTATCGATATATGATAGTGTGATCAATAGTTTACTCAGACGCCATTAATGCCATCAGGCAGACTTATATTTATTTATAAATTACACAACTTAGTTTTTTATTGTGTTGCCTTTTACTCAAGCAAGGTGCTATCTTGATAGATATAAATCGTGGAGCACCGATTGTCTATTTTTTTTTACTATTTTTGTTTCGATATTTTAAGTCCTGGTCTTTGAATTCACACTTTGCAGTCTCTTTTTCCTCCATGTTTTTTATGTTTTTGTTTTAGTGCCCAAGACACATGGGGCCGCTATGTTGGCAAACAAATGTTGTTGTTTATTCACTTTTCTTAAAAAATATCAGCTTTTAAAATACTCGAAAAAACCAACAACAAATAATAACTGGGTTCATTTATTTCATAGTTATTTATAATTAAGAATGGCTTTTAAACCTGCTAATTAATATGTATCTCATATCTCCTCTCACCCCGCCCCCACACACACTACCCAACCCCATCCCCACACAAACTGTGGGGTCAGACGAGGCTGAACTACCTCACCTAGCCACACCGTGAGGCGACATCCTATCTCTGATAGATACAACCAGCTGAGAAACTCGCACAAACGCTTTGTGTGGAAGATTTTTATTGCTTTGTTTAACTTCCAAACCCCAACATAGTTGATAAGTCTTGGGCTTCCTTTGCCTTTCTTCTTGCGTCTAGTTTTGTTTTCTCCACGTTGTAAAACTTCTGGCTCTCTTCGAGTATCTTGCTGTTCTCTTGTAAGACCTTCTTTATATCTCGATAAAACTCCTGTCCGCTTTCAGATTTCGGAGATTTAAATAAAGTCTTAAAATTCGTCGAGTACCTGGCCATGTCTTCATTTTCATCGTCTGGTATGACGTCAGGCGAAACGCTGAGTTGATTTTTCCGATCGAAAATGTTATTCGGATAAAAATCGTCAATTGTGTTCCATCTTTGGTCATTTCCGGAAACTCTTTTGCCAATACCGAGAGCGAAGTTGTAGTGGTCGATCTTAGAGCGTTGCCTCTTGCCGATACCCATGTTGGTGAAACGGGGGTCGTTGCGGTGGGTCTCCCTCCGGGTGTAGGGCACCTGGGGTGCGGGCGTCACCCTTTGACGTTCTATGCGATCAATCATGTTCTCGTAGAATGACGCAATCTCACCATGCGTCATGGGCCGGTTGGGTTCTGACGCGCCTGGTTAAAATAAAAATTTAAAAATTAGCAAAATATTTTTTACGATCTATACAATTATCATTATTTAGGCATTGGTCTAGTTCTTTTATTAATAAATACAAACAATTTTTTTAATTAATTATATATGTATTTATAATTACACTTAAACTAAAATGAGTAATAATAGAGATATGGTCGCAGGTTCAGATGTTTTGAAATTATTTTTAAAAATTAGACTTTTAAGAACAATTCTTAAAACTGCTTTTTTTCAGAAACCTTTACTATTTTGAAAATCCCAAAGAAAATACTGTTGAATACGAAATGAGTTTGATGGAGATTTTAAATTTATTTTTTTATGTTTTACAACTTGATGAAGTTGATATGCTACACCTGGAACTGGGCTAATCATTTCTGTCTATTTGGCTGTCCGACAGGTCAACTTGTCTGTAGACCTGTCAGTCTGTTTGCCTGTATGTTAAATCTCTTCCTGTCAGTCTGTCCACCTTTCTGTCTGTCTGTCTTTCCCTCAGGCTGTCTATCCATCTGTCTGTCCGTACGTCCCTCAATCGGTCTAACCGTCTGTCTGACTGATTGTCTGACACATACAACTTGGTACAGAAAATCTGTACCGGTAACTATGCTAGACTGTCTGTCTGTCTGTCTGTCTGTCTGTCTGTCTGTCTGTCTGTCTGTCTGTCTGTCTGTCTGTCTGTCTGTCTGTCTGTCTGTCTGTCTGTCTGTCTGTCTGTCTGTCTGTCTGTCTGTCTGTCTGTCTGTCTGTCTGTCTGTCTGTCTGTCTGTCTGTCTGTCTGTCTGTCTGTCTGTCTGTCTGTCTGTCTGTCTGTCTGTCTGTCTGTCTGTCTGTCTGTCTGTCTGTCTGTCTGTCTGTCTGTCTGTCTGTCTGTCTGTCTGTCTGTCTGTCTGTCTGTCTGTCTGTCTGTCTGTCTGTCTGTCTGTCTGTCTGTCTGTCTGTCTGTCTGTCTGTCTGTCTGTCTGTCTGTCTGTCTGTCTGTCTGTCTGTCTGTCTGTCTGTCTGTCTGTCTGTCTGTCTGTCTGTCTGTCTGTCTGTCTGTCTGTCTGTCTGTCTGTCTGTCTGTCTGTCTGTCTGTCTGTCTGTCTGTCTGTCTGTCTGTCTGTCTGACTGTCTGACTGATTGTCTGACCCATACAACTTTGTACAGAAAATCTCTACCGGTAACTATGCTAGACTGTCTGTGTGACCCACCGAATCCCGGCCGACACAACATGCACATCCCCATCACCATACATGTCAGGCAATCCATTAAATCTGTAGGAGAGATCAAGAAATCAAACATTAACACACATTTATCAATCCAAATACAGTCAGACAATCCTTCAAATCTGCGGAAGAAATCAAGAAAACATTAACCAACATGTGGGAGAAATCATGAAAACATTAACACACATTTAGCAAACGAAATACGGAATCTTAATGCCCAGTTTTACGATCAGCTAAATACCACTTCGCTTGAGTTTTGAGGCAGCTATGGGTATATATAGGCATATATATATATATATATATATATATATATATATATATATATATATATATATATATATATATATATATACATATATATATATATATATATATATATATATATATATATATATATATATATATATATATATATATATATATATATATATATATATTTATATATAAAGGTTCGTTACTATAATTGGTTTTGCATTTATATTATTTTTATCTAAGTTATTTAATCTAGCACTCTGTAAGTAAACTGTGTTTCTACCCTTATAACTTCAGCCATCTCTGTCTCTAGAAAACCACAGCAATAATATGAGAAGTAAAAAAACATATCAAGCTAGCATCTCACGTGAAGGTCCACATTTCAACCAATCACTGATAGACACGCCCATAGGCGCGAGTTGAAGCGTCTGTGACCCATTTCAGATGGCCGCAGGGAGCACTCAAGTAAAGCACGATATGAGACTAATTTTTTAAAATATTTTAATTAAAGCAGAAGCCATAAATTCTGCCATAAAAATCTGTTTCATTTATAAATTTCTTCGTCTCAAATTCAGTGTTTCAAGAAAAGTAATATATATATATATATATATATATATATATATATATATATATATATATATATATATATATATATATATATATATATATATATATATATATATATATATATATATATATACATATGTATGTGTATATATTTAAAAATATATATAATATATATGTATTTATATATATATATGGGACGGAGTGGTCTAGCGGTAGAGAGCTGGACTGCTAACCCGTAAGTCTCGAGTTTGAATCCGGGTTCAAGTCAGTAGACCGTCCCTGAGTCCACCCAACTCTGATGGGTACTAACTCACGTTAGGGAAAGTAAAAGCGGCTGGGCATAGTGCTGACCACACTATCTCTTCATATACCGAGGTCACAGAAACAAGTGAACTCTACTTCACTTGCCCCGTAGACCGTCAAGTTTGAAAGGGAAACTTATATATATATATATATATATATATATATATATATATATATATATATATATATATATATATATATATATATATATATATATATATATATATATACATACATATATATACATACATGTTTATATATATACTTATTCATACATGTATATACATATATACAAATGTGTGTGCGTGTATTTGTGTGTCTACAGTCCAAGTCCATTGATTGAGTTATTCGCCTGTTGTAGAGTAGCCTATCCTGAAGTTAATTGACCAGCTAGGACTAGCTTCTAGAACCGTGACGTAAATTGTTACACGTCTCACACCACCCAGGTGATGACATTTCCGGTTCTATCGTTTCTGGTACTCGCTGGGCGGCCACAGGTAGTTGTCAGACACCTGAACAATGGCCGCCTGCTGTCCGTGATAGCAGCAGCGTCACGTGACACGGCGTCTGTTGTGGTGTGAAGGTTGAGCACGTGCAAGCCATCCATTACTGTCATCGATACGGCGTGCATGTTGATACAGTGGAATCAATTGGCCGGTCAGGCGGGGCTATATTTCACCGTGGACAGTTGTCGTATCGGGAGAAACAGAGTCGAATTAAGGGACAAAGTGATAGGGGGACAATCTTCTGCCAGAGATGACGTGGGCTGGGTGGTGTTGACGGGTGTATACATATCCATGGATGTTGTTGACGTGTGTGTTAATGTGGGTTGGGTGGTGTTGACGTGTGTTGACTGGGCGATGCTGTGTTTGTCCCTATGTTTATGAGCACATTGACTTTTCTACCTTTCCCGCATCTTTTAAAAGAGCAGCTGCTATAACATACACACTCGCACACTCACTCGCATGCACATACACAGACGCACAGAAATTAAACCTATTATTCCAGCATTTCATCGTACATCAAGAAAGTTTCTCTAAATAAAAGTATGCACATCCTACCTAGTTTATATTACATATGTTCTATAAATCGTTGACATTCCATTAATGTGCCACAGTAAGCATTAAACAATACAAAGGGTTGGTAGCCTACTACATGCATGTGATGTCTTGCAATAAAAAATGAAGCTTTTAAATACAATACTTGTTTTAAAAGTTAATTTTTATTTTCTTCTTTCAATCATTTTTATCTTGTTATCGCCCTTGATTTCGAGCAAACACGAAAAGCGTATAATTAAACGCTCGAAAGATGCTGTTTTTTTATACCAATATCGCGGCATATCATGGGCTGCTATTTAGTTGTTTTTTTTTCTACTTTTCAGTAATTCATAATTTGTGAATTCGACAGTACCAATGCTGCCACTGAAAATATTTGCTCAAAAACACTATCAGTAGGTCGTTAAGAACGATACTAACCCCCCCTCCTTTCCCCCAACCCCTACCCTACACCCCCACCCCCGTGAAAGCAGCCTCCTCTTAGTTACCTCCCCTAAGTTTAAAATAGTTTCAAACTAAATTATCTGCCCCTAATAGCCGTCACTAAACCCGCTCTATGATTGTAAACATTTAGCGTGAACCACAGCTCACCAGACCATGTAGGGGTGGGGTGGTAGGGAGCGCGCTTACAGCTTGTTTTCTAGCGTCTCCCATAAGAGAATTATATATATATATATATATATATATATATATATATATATAGAGAGAGAGAGAGAGAGAGAGAGAGAGAGAGAGAGAGAGAGAGAGAGAGAGAGAGAGAGAGAGATGCTTCTTTTCGAGTTTTAGTATAAAGCTTGGTACGAAATCGCAAAATAATTTAAATTTTTATTGCAAACAAAAGAAAACGTTATGAGTATCAGTATATGATTGATATGGAATAATTTATAAACGTTGACCTAGCTAGAACATAGAACCATTGATCTGAATAAAACACAAAACCGTTGACCTATATAGAACAAAGTAACAGTTGACTCAGAGCATAGAACCGTTGGCATCAGAGGCGTAGCGAGGGGGGGGGGCGGACCGCACCGGGTGACACCATTTGGGGGGGGATGACACCAAGGCAAAAAATAGCAAAATATATAGAGAAAAACGTAATGGGGGGCTGCAAATCGAAAGTTTGATGGGGGTGCAAATCGAAAACTTGAGGGGGGGGGGGGGTACAAATCGAAAATTTGTCCCCGGGAAGAGTCACTAAGCCTCTGGGGGTGACACCTTTAAGTGCCGCACCTGACCTCGCTACGCCACTGGTTGACATAGAAAGTATATAAAAAATCTTTTACCTAAATAGAACATAGAACCGTTGACCTACATAGAACAAACCCTTTCACATGAGAACCTAAACCCTGCCCTGTGAACATCACCAACAGACTGCAGAAGACATAAGTATTTTTATCCATCAGGATAATACAACAGCGGTCATATAAAGCGTTAACAGCTGCTAATTTTACGCCGCTAGCAAGTTAAATTCGCGCTTTAAAGCCACTTCCGGCTCACATGTGTTGACGATGGTGTTTAATTATGTGATTTCATTATCAGCTGGGGAAAAAATGTGTCTCCTCTTACGAAGCTGGTCTAATTACGGTGACATAAAAATTGGAGATGGTAATTACGTCATGAAATGGTGGAGATAATTATAACATGAGATGATTTGGTGTTTTCGGGAAAATATTTTCGACTAGGGTTATATAAGAGTGGTAGGTTTTATTTATGTCAAACGTGCGTGTTTTAGAAATAAAAAGCTATTCCTGTGTCACGTAATTTGTAATGTGACCAAATGAGGTGTGGTTGTCTATGCTTTCAAGGCTTACTCTGGGCATTTTATAAATTAATTCCGGTAACCTAAAGATGGTTTTTGACATAAATATGTCTGATTTCCTATCATGTTCATAGTCCCAGCACTAACCTTTACGTAACAGCGGAACCGTATTTTTTCTGCTAGCATTGATTGTTTAAGAACAGAGATACACTACAGGTTTAGCGAGGTGAGTGGACTATAGAGAGGGTACCCGCATTATGTCCTAAAAACTAAATCACCAGAAAGTATGTTTTTTTCTTGATTTTTTTTAAAAAAATCCAATATTATAATAATATCTAGTATTGTAATGGAAACATTTTTAAAATATACGTAATCTTGTTTTTTTTTTTAAATTACATCTCTGTGTCTTAAACGTGCTATTTTTTCAATATCAATTTAATTAAACACTGAATTCATTAAATAACATTCGCGAATGTTCCAGATCTATCTTAGTTTGAGAGGTTATAGGCAAATTTATGAACCATAGAATAAAGTTGGTTAACGCATGTCTAATCTTTAGATACTTGCTAGATATTTACTTGATAATTGTTGTATGATAGGGGTAAAGTACCGCTTCAGATTTATGCCAGCTGAAGTAGAGTTCAGCTGTTTCACTGACCGCGGTATATGTTGTCAGTATTATTGCCAGATTATCTAGGTGCTAGACAGTTGTCTGATGGCCAAATTGTCTAGGTGCTAGACAGTTGCCTGATGGCCAGATTAGCCAGGTGCTAGACACCTGCATGAAGATGTCCAGATTATCTAGGTTCTAGACAGTTGTCCGAAGATGGCCAAATTGTATAAGCATTAGACGTTAGCTACACTTTTGGCCAAACTTAGGTGAAGGGCGTGGCCTAGTCCTAAACACAATAGCAGCCCCTACGTGAATTCGAGAACCAAAAGTGATTTTAAAAAATAGTCCTGAAGAACTGTAATTGTGTACACATCTACTGTAAGTTAAAAGATGAATTAATCGTGCAACAGCATTTCAAACCCCACATCATTGTCCAACACATCCTCGGTTGATCCAGCGCTCAAGTAATCACACAACAATAATTTGCCGCGTTCCCCCC